GCCAGGGGCCACAGCTCTGCTGGGGTGCACAGCTATACCCCGGCCTCCCTCGCAGGTGGGCACAGAACACGGCAGGACGGGCTGCCGCCTGTGTGCAAACAGGACAGGCCCCTCCGGCCTGGCCCACACAAAGCATAAGACCATCAGAGCCGCGTCTGCCCGCTGAGGGAGAGGCCGCAGGGCAGAGGCTCGCCACGCCAAGGCAGGGCTCCGAGTCGTCAGGGGCGCCCCGTCCTCCACCAGCCACACGGGGCTCGCGAGTGATGGAGGGCAGCTCCGTGTGCTGCGGGGTAGGTGGCTATGACAGCAGCTGGGCTTCGGGGGTACACTCTTGGGGGGCACTGTGCAGATGTTTACCGCACCCAGATGTGCTGTGATCCTGGACCTCGCGCTGCTCCGCCTTGTTCTCCGTTTCCTCAGCTCCATGAGGCTGGACCAGGTCATCTCTAGGGGGCCTTCCATCTGGGGCTCACCTGTGCTCCCACAATCACACACTGACGCTCACACACAGGCACAGCTCCTGTGCTGGGGGACAATGCCGGAGGCCTTTCTGGACGCTCCCTCCCAAGGGTCTCCATGGGGACAGCGTTCTGGGACCTTATTTCTAACAGATGCTCCTAGAAGAGAAGTCCCCACTCCAGGCCAACAGGATGGGGTGCCCGACTCCAGGGATGAAAGGTGCTTGTTGATATGTATTTTGATAGCTTCCTGGATCATAAAAGGAATTGCTTTCTAATTGGAAGCCTTTGTAAATCAGTGGGCAGCATCTCCACCCTCCCCCCAGCCCCCCACCCCTGCACAGAAGCTGTGCGGGGGTGGGGAGAGGTGGCGGCTTCCAGCCCCTTCGGGAGCAGAGCGCTGGGGAAGGGAGGAGCAGCAGAGCCTGTCTGGGGTGCTCCCTTCCCTGCCTCCGGGAAGGCCCCTCTTCCCTTTTTGCTGGGGAGGCTGCAGCGCTGGGTTCACAATTGAGAACCAGGCCCCGTCCTGTGCCTGCACTACCTGGATTACCTGTTGGGGGCCCAGCGTGACAGACAGAGACACTGAGGCCCAGAGAGGACTTGCCCAAGGCCACTCGCTGGGGAGCAGGCAAGCGGGGTTCTCGCGCAGCCAGCCTGGACTCCAGGCCCACTATCCAGGCCGGGAGAAGGGTTATCCTGAAATCCGCCAGAGGCAGGGAGAGGAGGAGCAAAGGACACAGGCAATGGCTCTCTGGGGGTGACCCTCTGCCCCAGCCCCCAGAGGACATTTGACAATTCCAGAGACATTTTGGGGGGTCTTAAGTGAGAGGGTGGGTGCACCTGGTGTCCGGAGGGCAGAGGCTGGAATGCTGCCAGCACCCTGCAGCGCACCAGCCAGCAACTCCTCAGCAAGGAGTTACCCGGCCCAGAGCCCAGCGGGCCACGTGGAGAACGCTGCTCTTAGGCCAGAGGCCCTGACCGCGCCTCTTCCTTGCTGTGTCGCCCGGGGCAGTGGACATCCCCTCTCTGAGCCCTGGGGAGAGCACTGGGTCCGGGCATATTAGACGGAGCCTGCCACTCAGAAGTGCCAACCTCGGGATGGCCTCTGCCCTGCACGGCTCCTCCTCACCCCGCCCAGACCCCTGTCCTATCTCTTGACCACGAGGCAGAACTGGGCCCTTCACAGAGAGCCTGGGAGAGCTGAGTCCATGGCCCCTGCTCCCTCCTGGCTGTCCTGATGTCTCAGCTGCTCTAATTACTTATTTAAAGGCTATCGATTCCTTGGCTTGCTGCTGGGAGGCCTCGCGGAATTGCCTGTCTCACAAATAGGAGAGCCTCGGCCGGGCGACTGGGGCCGCAGCCTGACATAACCAGGCAGGGGGTTATTTTCGCCCAGGATGCTTGTGAAATATTCATGTGCTGATTTAAATACAGAGGATGCTCAGAGCTGGAGAGGGCCAGCGCGATCACATCAGCAAAGCTTGCCTCGTCCGGGGGCCTGCGTTGGAGGTGTGGAGGGTGGGGGTGGCACGCACAGGTCCTGGGCGGGCCTGGAGGCCCCGGCCGAGTGGATGACCTCAGGTGGGTGCCTGACCGACTCTGCTCATCCGCGAGAAAGGGGGTCACGAGGCTAAAATGAGGTGGTGTCTGCGGATCCACCTTGCGTGGAGTGGACCTGCAGAGTTCAACTGCATGTATGTCCCATAAGCCCGTCCGAGCCTGAGTTTTATCTTCTAGAAACTTCCTAGGGTTGCTAAAACTCAACAAGGTGGCAAGTGTGATCACCTTATACCATGGGAGATGAAGGCCTCATGCCCAGGCCCTGCTAAGAGCCAGGGCCTGTGCAGAACACTTAACAGGCAGTAAGTCTCACCGTCTCAACAGCTCTGATGACCGGCACATTGCCTGAGTCTGGGGTGCGCTGGTAACCTGACTGTTGGGGGCTGGGGTGGGATGGCGGGAGAGCCCTGAATTGCAGTGCTTGCCAATATCCCTGCTGTCTATCCTCTCAGAATGCCAACTTTCCAAAAGATCACTTGCACTGTCACAAAGAGAAGTGCACACCGCTGATTTGTTTGCAGAGGAGGAAACTGAGGCCCCGAGGCGGGGCGGTGTGACCAGAGGGCTGACCAGGAAAGGTCTACCTGCTTGCAAAGCTCAGCCCTCAGAGGCTGAGGTTGGGTCGCAGAGGCTCGGGGATGGCATGCACCTTGACCGGCCAGAACCAGGACAGCGCCTCTCCTTTCTTCCTGTCCTGCAGGTACTTAGGCCAAAGCTCCTGGGCGCCACCCTCCTCCTGCCCTGAGGCTCGTTCAGGAAGTCACAGGACCACACTTGAGGGAGCACCAGGTGACTGGATACACCACTTTCTCCTGATGAACCTGCCAGGTAGGAATTCTGACTACAAATTTATGGAGGAGGAAATGGAAGCTCAAGACAGGTGAAATGACTTGCCCAAGGCGACAGATCTGGGCTCTTGCAGAATTGGGGTTCAAACCCAGGTCTCCGATGCTCCAGAGCGCACATGCCTTCCTCTCCACGGTGGGGCCAGGCCTTGTCCTGAAAGCCGGGAGGCGTGTGGTAACCCCACCGGTACTCACCAGCCTGTCAGTTTAAAACCCCAAACTGTCTCTGCCTCAGTGGTATTTATCAGAATCAACAGGAATACGAAAGTGAGTCATCAGACCATTCAAGTCAGAATCCTTGGGGAAAAGGACTCCCAGGAGGCTCTGGAGTTTAAGCACTTTCTGGGGGCTTCTGATGTGAAGCTGGCCCTGCCCTGCCCAAGGGCCACTCTAGTGACCCTTGGAGGAGAGCACTCTGACGTGGGACCCCAGTGCTAGTATTCACAGGACCCTTGAAGGGGCCCCAATGTGTTGATGTGGGGTTGTTCCCGGGGCCTGAAGGAGCCGTATCAGCTTTAGCCTCCCCCGTCACTCGGGGCTCTAAGATCACTACTACCACCTCTGCAGAATGGGCCTCCAGGAGCTGGGGGAGCCGGACACCCCAAAAGGCAGTCTCTCCCCTTCCTCAGCTTCAAGAATCTCTGTCCTGCTTTCTTATCCTTCTATTCACCGGCCTATGACCTGCTCCCTGGGGCCAAAAGAGGGGGCCCAGAGGGCTGGGGACACAGCAGTAAACGGCGGTCCCAGGCGTCCCCAGGGGGCGCGAGGAGAGGAGGAGAGCTGGCCTTTGCCACGCCACCTGGGCGGGGACTGGCTTTGTTCAGAAACACGAGTCCTACGCGGGTGGCAACCCGTGGCCATCTTGCTCTCGAACCAGAAGGAGGCGGGCGAGCGAGCGGCCAGGCGGGAGGGAGGCTGGAACGGCCAGACGGGGAGGGGCCTGGAGCCCAAGGCTCCCGTCCAGCTGTCTGGAGGCCACAGCCAAGTGTGCATGGCCCCGCACTGTCTGTGCAAGGGGCGCAGAGGCAGCTGCGGTCCACGTGGGTCAATACCACGGAGCCCAGAGACGGCAAGAAGAGGGCAGCTGTGCAGAAGTCTGCGGGGTGCTGGCCGAGACCCAGGAGCGGCAGGTTCTAGCTGCCATCTGGACAAGGGAAGGCAGGCTCGTCATCGAGTGACTGCAAGTGCTGAGCGGCAGCACCTGGCACGGTGGCATATGGGGGCCCCCAAGCCATTCGGGGGGCGGTCACAGTTTCCATGGACCGATGAGCTCTGTGTGCCAGGCTTTATGCCAACAGAGCTCACACAGCCTACCTTAGATCCTCACCGACATCTTAGGATGTGGTGACTATTACAACGTCCATTTTACAAATAAGTGGACGTTCGGAGAGGCCCGTGATCCACCGAAAGTCACAGAGCCAGGAACTGAATCCAGGTCTTTCTGTTCTGAAAACCTGTGCTTAGAGCCCCACCCTCTCTGCTGCTTCAACCTCCCTATGCCAAAGCCCCCAGGGCTGTGGGTAGAGACAGACTCTGTGAGCTCAAGGGGCCACCCAGTGACAGACATGCGAATGCGCCTTCCCAGCTCACCGGGGCTGTGGGACTCGGCCTCAGAGAATTAAAGGAATTCGCCCAAGGTCACAGATGAGACAGTAGCTGGACGGGGAGCAGCCAGGGGCCTTCACAGCCAGGCCTTTGCGCTGCCCCACAGAACTTAAAGGCCCTCGGGCCATGGGCCCCTGCTCCTCAGTTACAGTGGGGGCAGCAGGCTCTCCACCTGGTCTCCAGAGCAGGCCCAAGTCAGGGAGAGCCAGGCCAGTGGGCAGGGCCAGAGCTGCTGCTGCCCCAGCCCAGGCCCCAGAGGCCACTCACAGGGAAATCTTGAAATGGTGCCCGGCTCACTGTCTCCGTGGTAGCATAACTGCTAGGAAGACAGGGTGGATTCTAGCTTAACTCACGGTGCCCGGCTGAGTCGGCAGTGCAGACAGGCCTCCCCAGCCTAAGAGCAGAATCGCAGGGATCTCCGCTCTGCTGGAATTTCTCTGCACCAGCAGGCAGGGGCGGGAACGAGAACGAGAGGAAGCGGCCGCTGGCACCTGGCGAGGCTCCGTCTCTGCCCACCCACCCTGCTTCTCACCCGTCTTTGAAAGGTCTGTCTCAGGCTTGCACCGCATCCCGCCGTCCAGGAAGCCCTCACGAGAGCTCTCCGGTCTCCACAGAGAAGGACTTTGAAGTGCCGTTCCAATGATGAGAAAGCTAAATTCAGTGGCCTCCCAATGCAGCAACATTCAGCAGATGCTTTGCAAGTCACGGCGCGTCTTACAGTGGCGATATCCCTTGCAGCCAAAGACGCCTGGCCTCTCCGGAGGGCTTTACAGTAGGCAAACCCGGCACAGCCCTCACCTCCCAGGAGGTGAAGGCCGAGCCCAAGCCCCCACGCTGGTCCAGCAACAGTGGGCCCCGGCCTCTGCCGAGGGCGTCCGGAGTGAACATCGTCACTTGCTTTAGCTGGCCATGAGGTTGGGCTGTGTGACCCGTCTCCAGGTGAGGACATCGCGGTCAGGTGTCTGCCTGAGGTCCCGGGGCCGTTAAGGGGTGGAACCTGGATGGGGGCGTGTTGCTGTTTAATGGGAGAAAGGCAGGTTTTGTGCCCATTTTTCAGGTGGGGAAAACACAGGGCCTGCGCGGTGGTCAGCTCTGCTCACGGTGGGACCGCAGGCTGCTCTTGGCACATCCTGGGGTTCCCTTTACCTCCTCTGCCGACTCAGAGGGAGCAGCCTGGCCCTGCTCTTTCTAGCTCTGAGCCATGTGAGGGGACCGCGGCAGCCAGGGACACCCCACCCGCTCACCTTGGCCTTGCTTCCTGCGCTGTGGATTCCCCCTCTGGGGCCTGCCTCTTCTGTGCGGGTCACCTAGACGCCTGTCCTGAGAGCTCAGTGTCACGCACAAGGTGAGGGGCAGAGGGAGACAGGGGCAGAACGGCGCATGCAGGACCCAAGGAAGGGCCCAGCAGAGAGTGGTGGGGGCTCCCCTTGGGGCATTCTGGCAAGAGCCAGAAAAATCACAGTCTGAGCCCCAGTCTACTTCACAGAAGGGGAAACAGACCCAGATTGGGTGGGGGTTCTTCCTTCTGGACAGGCAGAGATTAGGTTGAAGAGGGACTAGAATTGACTGCTGGGCTCTTCCCATGGCCCACGCTGGCAATCTGGTTGAAACAAGGTCTCAGACCATTCTGTGCATTCATTCGTTCAGCCAGTCATTCAACAACCTTCCCTAAGCATCCATTACAGGTCAGCCCCAGCAGTAATAATGGTGGGGACAGTCACGCAGCGTCTGGCCTAGCGCTGTGCAATACAGTGGCTGCCTGTGGCTATCGGGCCATGGAATGTGGCTTGTCCAAGTTAAGGTACTCAGTGTCAGGCCCTCCCTGGTGGCGCAGCGGGTTAAAGCGCAGCACTGAGAAGCTAAAGCCGCTTCTGCATGAGTTCAATCCCTGCCCGTCCCAGAGCTGACCCACAGGGCACGCAAGACCTCTCCTGACCCGCCTGCTGCTCCCCTCAGCAGTGTACTTCGCCAGTCGGCTTGTTCTGCCCCCCGCTCTGTCTCTGGTGAATCCTCTCACCATCCCTGCACCTCTGGCCTGTACCCCAGTTATGTATGCACAAATAAATCTTTAAAAAAAGAAAAAAAAATACGCAGCATCAAATCCATGCTGGATTAGACATGAAAAAGAAGTAAAATATCTCAGTATTACAGGCAGAAAAGACCTGGGGTAGGCAGGATTAAATAAAGCATGAAAAAGAACTTCAATGAGCTTCTCATTTTTTCAAAAAGTGGCTACTAGGAAATGAAAATGAGCAGTGGCAAAGGTGGCTACGCTCTGCTTCTCTTGGGCAGTGATGGCCTAGAGGGACGGCCTGCAGGCGAGCAGGTGACCCCGTGGCTTCATGCCTCTACCAGCCAGCGCGGAGAGCGGGCGCCGACACCCCAGAAAGCTGATCCGGAGCATGAGGAGGGTCCCGGGCGGGGCCTGCTTCGTTCCGCTTCTCGGCCGGTGCCCAGCCCCCTTCTCCCTCCTGCTCCGACTCTCCTTCCCCGGCGCCAGAGGCTGTCTCCCCTTCTAGCCCATTTTATGCCACCACCTCCAGGTGTGTGGAGGAGCCCCAAGGCCATCTCAGCCCGCTGTGACAGGCCAGCCCTGCCCATCCGTCAGCCAGCATCTGCCTGCCAGCGACCTTCTTCACCCCACGGGGCTCTGGGTACGGGACACAGGGGCGGAGGGCGCCCACCCACCTGTGGCCACACTGCACAGTGGCTGCCACAATGACAGCTGCGCCCCAGACCTTGCAGGAAAAGCGCGGAGGGTCTGACGGGGGTGGGGGGGGGAGGCCGAAGAGTCTTCCTAGGGCGGTGCGCTTAGACCGAGGCCCACGGCAGGGAACAGCTTGGCCAGGCAAGGGAGCAGAGCTGGGGCTGAGAGCACCGGGCTGTGCAGGCCCCCGGGGAGGCTCAGCGAGCTCTGGGCAGTGATGGGAGCAGGCCACCGGAGGTGGGCACAGGCCAGACCCAGGGCTTTGGAGGCCGCGTGTGGCCTTCCTCTCTGGAGGGCACTGGGGAGCCCTGGAGCGTGCATGGATAAGGGAGCCCGGAAGGCTGAAGCGCTCTCTGCTGCAGAGCCTAAGCTGGCCCTGAGTTCCTGGGAGAGTCCGGGTGTGCCACGTGGCCCTGGCCACACAGCTACTCGCTGCGCCTCAGTTTCCTTACCCGAGACGGCGGCTTTTGTGAGAACTGGGAGACGTGGTGCTCGTGGACCTGCACACAGTGGGCCACACAGGGTTGCCCCCAATCCTTCCTCTCTCCGAGCGCCCACCCCACCTATCAAACACCGCGCCCCGCTCCTCAGCAGGCAGGAAACAGGACTGGAGGAACATTTCCGCACCCGCCGGAGTATTTATAGCCGTGTTCTGTCAGCCCCTTGTTTTTTTTCCGTTGCATATATATTTTTACATTCTCCTCCGTCACACATGGCTTCTCAGTGTGGCTGAGAAACGGCGGGGGTGGGCTGGATGCAGAGGGTGGCAGGTGTGGGAGGCACAGACAGCTGGCCCGGACACACCTACGAGCCTGAGACCCAGCCTGGCCCGCACTCTCCGGCGTGGAAACTGTCCATGCGCCCAGCGCCCTCCGCCCCAGGACGGCCCCACCCCATCGCAGCTCCGGGCCCTGCCGGAGGGCTGGGGGGCCGGGGGTGGGGGTTGGGGGTCCTGATGGTGGTTCTCTCTCACTTGCTCTCCCTCCACCCATGTGAGCGGGTGCGAAGGCAAGCTGGACTTCCCCTCTGCCAGCTGGGGCCTCCAGCAGTCCACTCTGCCTTTCCTGGGAAATGGGAGCCTTATTCTGACCTCCTGGAGGCTGTGAGTGGCCTGACATGGAATAAACAGCTTCAGCAGAGGGGCTCCAATCTGGTGCCTCCAGGCGTCAGCACAGGCTGTTCCCTGGCCAGGAATTCTCTCCTGCTGTCCACCCCCACTGGGTCATCAGGGCCAGCCCTCAGGGAGCCTTCCTGGCAGCCTTGCACGCCCACTGGCTCCTCCTTGGCATCTCACCCTCGCTGGGAGGGGACTGGGCATCTCCCCCAATAGTCTTGCTCCTCGGAGACAGATTGCACGCTCCTCGCTTGTAAAAATAGCCCAGTACAAAGCCTTCCCGAGGTCCCATCCACTCTCGCACTGTCCTTCCTGGGAGTGGACACCTGTGCCTGTTCCATGAGAGGACGTGCGATCACGAAGGGGAACGACTCATCCATCACCCCTTCAGCCCAGGACTTTGGACTCAAGGACCATGGTTCCCGCAACCACCAGTCACGAGCTTCTCCACCGCCCTGTGCCAGGCAGGAGGCTCCAGAACCGGTAACTGGCTGGCCTCAGTGGCCCTTCCTCACTGGCCAGGGACTCCTCCCGGCCCCGGAGCCCAGCCGGGCCCTTCTCTCTAGCCTCTGCCCCTCACCTCCCCAGCCTGGGGCCTCAGGGCCCCATTTACTGCCTGCCAGGGGCAGGCCTGGGGCACACCCGGCTGGAATTCTGGCGGCCCAGCAAGGAGAGGAAAGAAGCCTTTTTCTGAGGCTGGAGGTGGGCCAGGGTGAAGGGCCATGTCCTTGCACCACCAAGGCCCACCTCTGCCTCTGTGCCCCTCCGGTACCTGCGCACTCACGCATCCTTTCTCATTCGTTCACGCACCACGCCTCCGTCCTCGGAGGGCCAGCTGGCTGCCCACAGGGCTCCAGCCCCGGGAAGTCCCCAGGCAGGACCCTCCGTCCCTCGCCTTCTCTCTCCGCTCCCCCTTGCTGGGTCTGCCCCGCCTGTCTCATCTGCACACACACGCTCTTCCTCCTGAAACAGCTTCTCGCTGCTCTAACAGAGCTCCCGGTGGCTTCAGGCCCCAGCTAGGATAGCTGCAAAGAGAACCTGGGGGGGATTTTCAAAATACCCCTGCCCCGCCCCCACCTCTCATGCAGCTGGGCTCCCATAGCTGGTGGGTCCTGGGGGGCTCCGGGGGGACCCTGTCAACAGGCTGCAGCCTCACCAAGCCAGCTGGCCCCTCTGGGGCAATACTCATGCTGCAGTCTGTCCCCTGAGGGGGGCCAAGCCCATGGGGCTTCTCAGCAGGTTTCTTACCCACCAGCCCTCTGGGACCCAGAGAATGCTCCCCAGAGAGCCAGTCCCTGTTGTATACCCGCTTATAACTTCTTCATCAAGCACAACCGCGATGCCATCAGCTGCTGTGGGCGTGTTTGTTTGGTAAGTGACTTTGCTGCCAACATGAAACACACCAGCAGGGCCACCTCTGCTCACTCTGTCCTCTTCCAAGGACATAATCCCATTCACGAGGGCTTCACGCTTTGGGCCTAGTTACCTCCAAAGCTAAGCCTCCTAACACCACTGCACTGGGGGGTAGGTTTGAGCATGTGAACTTTAGGGGAACACTTACACTGGGCCTACTTGCAGTGATTTTCCCATAAGTGTGAACAGTATCAGGAATCATGGGGATGCGTCCCAGCTCTGTGAGCCTGGCAAGTGCTGGCCTCTCTTGGCCTCGGGTTCCCACCTGTGTCAGGCCCACAGTAAGATGGACATAGAAATTAAGATGAACTGGAAGGGGTCCTCCCTGGTGGCACAAGGGGTTAAAGCACAGCACTACAAAGTTCTCCACAGCCACTACAGCACAAGTTCAATCTCCGGCC